TTATTCTATCGTGAGTTAATTCCTTGTACGTGAAACAGATCAGGCAAAATAAAATAAAATCTTGAACTTTTTTTAAGAGATAGACAGGTGAGTTATGGAATATCATTATATTTCAGTTAAAAATCAGAATGACACAAGATCAGACTTTTCAAAAATGATAGCAACATACCGTCTTTGTCATATTGTACCAAGACCTGACGTTTCATTCCGACAAAATAAAATTTCATATCTTCAACGCCTAACTAATATAAATCGCTAAGACGCAGCGTATAGGTTCTAAAAATGCACGTTCCTTTGTAAAGATCAACTACCATAGATTAGAGCAGGAAATTGCTAACACTTATACCCCACAACAAAAATTGCCTAAGAAACGACGCAAAACTTTAACGCAGGCCACAAATGATGCGGTCCTACTAGCCGTAGATCGCAGCTGTGGGAAAAATCGTCATACATATTTATGAAAAACTTATTGATCGACGTGCACTTCATAGTACAGAACGAGAGAGAGAGAGAGAGAGAGCGAGTGAGAGAGAATCCTGAAGTATTTTCTACGCCAGAACAGAAATCGCACTCGGCACATACTTTTTACGACGTCCGCGCGGCAATAAAAATCGCTATTTTTCGTGCGCGCCTTTGTCAGAGCAAAGAGAGAGCATATATTTCACGTGCAACTTTACAACGACTAGTGCGAAGTCCCGATTTAATGGGGTTTTATATGCTCGGCTGGAAATGTGATTTGGGGTGCGCGCCACGCACACACACACGCGCGCGCGCGCACACGCACATACACACATACAGAAAACTCTCTCCACAGGGTGAATAAATGTATTGATGTTGCCAAGCTCGCGCCCATGAATCGACCAACGATATTACGATATCGAAATGGAACTCGCATGTTTACGTGTATTAAATGTGCCAAAAGCAGTTTGAATTTTTTTTTTGTAATACAAAAAAAAAAAATGAAATATCTGCGTAATGTATATTTCAAACATTTTCTAAGTAACCCAATATCTTGCTTCTTTTAATCATTGAAATAAAAAAATTGAACTAAACGAAATAATTTTATGGTAAAACAAAAAAAAATGATAATAACTCGCCGAAAAAAAGCGTACACAAAATAACAGTCTTGTTTCGTCATCGTATCTCGACTCATAAATCGCGCTCGATCAAAATGAAAACGGTTGAATCCATCCTCGTTCATTATGCAAATCGGTCAACCCCTGCTTTAGCTCTAGATCCGTAAGTTAAACCGTGAAACGAGGGCACGCCGGAGAAAATATCTCTAACAACGTTCGCGCGCAGTCATGCGATTCGCATGGCATATAGGTATCGAGGAGTAGGCGAGAAGAAAAAAAATGATATAGGCGTCCGCTGTGCGCGCGTGTATGTGTGTGTCTCTCTAACCCGACTAATACCAGTATTAGAAGCCACGTGAATGTTTCATTAGACACGCTGCTGAACGCTTTTTTTTTATTATTATCGCACGCACACACTCGATTCTAAGGGACTTTACTGCCGCCACCCTATACCCAGCAACAGCACACTGCACGTGTACGAAACGTGTTAAATTACGATTTTTTATGTGCCCACTGAGTTACGCCCGAATTTGTTCCTGCACTGATCCTTTCTTTATTGCGATTGAGAGAAAACGCTGATTTCCGAAACCTTTTGCGCGCCGAACCGAGGGGTGTGAAAGTCTTTGGGCACGGGCAAGCTTTTTTTCTTCTCATTGTGTTCCATCGAACCTCACAACTCGATAACAATCGTTAAGATTTTTATCCTAGTTTTCTTTTACCGTTGCTATTCGTTGTTATTCGGCATTCGTCAATCGGAGTCGTCCTGAATTTACATTTTAAGACTTATATCTGACGAAAGAAACTTTTTTCAGCGAGAACATAGGTCATCCCCTCTTTAGCATCTAAGCAAAGATCTCCGTTACGTAGGTAATTTATAAAGAATACAATCGAGCAGGAAATAAACTTTGATGACATTTGTATAAGAAGGTTGAAGAAATAAAACTATTTTACGAATTTATTTTATGGATTACTCTTACACGCAATGAAAGAGAACAAATAAAAAAAAATTTTCAAAAATTCTTTTTTTCTCGTGCAGAATATAATAGTCATTTTGTGTCCGTGAGCAAAAAATGGTATTGCAACTGAAAGTTTTCCTAATGGTGATCGTTAAAGAAAAATTTCGAGCCTCACGTTGCGAATTTAAAAAGCGGGAATTCGTCGCTACGAAGAAAGAAGAAAAAAGGGCTACGAGCACGTAAAAGCCGCGAGTAGAAAAAAGGCATAGGCACCCACATGTGAATATATCTCTCATACGATTCGTCGACAGGAACAAGGCGGGACGATTTCACTCGCTTCTTGCGGAAACATTTTAGCAGTAAAGAAGAAAATGGGCGGCTATTGATTGAATAAAAAAGAATGACATAGGCTTTTATTTTATGACGAGACAGTCGTGAAAGATTAGTTCGGCAATAAAAAAGTTTGATAAAAAAAGTAGACAGATGTATTAAACCAACTTTATAGATTGCTGTTCAATTAATATGACATATCATCCGCTCACATCTTTTTTCATAGACGATTCTCAACGGCAACTGTTGAAATTGGAAAGAGCCATTTCAATCATAAAACTATTCAAATGTACAACGATAGGGTACATAACACGACATTTTAGTTGATTAAACCCATCCAATCAAATTTACACCCAGCATTCTAAGTAATCGTATCGTTTGAGGCCATTCCTACAAAAATATATTAGTTGTCGATATTATAGTAAATACGCAACGAATACCGAGGTAATATAGAAAATCCTAGAGTATCAGCAAGTCATGGATATGATACAGTAGTGGAAAAGCAGTAAACAGAGATGGGGGTGGCTGAGTCAGCTCCCGTAATGGATTTGCTGCGGGAACGATAGGAAAATTTCAATTACCCGCTCGGGAATATCGCAATATCGGGACAACATAAATATCGCTTTGACAGACCGGTAAATACGGATTGCGCATTGTAAAAACAAAAATAATCCAGGCCACGGACTTTTTTTCTAAGAGACAGTTGACACCTTAATAATAAAAATGCCCGAGTGATTTGTAACCTTCTCTGTAAACGAAATTTAAATTTTCAGTCTATTACACGGTAAACCCATGTGTTTAAATTTAAACGTTTAATATGACGTCACCGATAAGAAATACATTATACTCAATTTTAAACACTTCTAAACGTTTAAATTCAGCGACAATGTATTTCTTACGGGTGACGTCACAATTACACACTTAAACCGTTTAAATTTAAACACATAGGATTTTAAGGTTTTGCCGTGTTACCTAATCAATAATATAAGAAAATATGTTAGGACAGTAGTGAAATTTGATTTCATATAAAATATATTGTCGAGACGCGAGTTAATAAAAAAAGTTACATTTTTTTGGCAACCTATTGAACGGCTTTGATTTATCGTAAGGATAATGAGGTTTCATTGATCAATGTGATCTCCTAACACGTAGCATCATGGGAACTAAACTAATGACTAAGCCGCCTATAATACACAATTTAACCCCACAGCATTTGCGGCGTAAGTTTCTAGTTAACACGTGCACTATATTGTTGTAGATCGTCGAAAAAAAATATATATATTTTCCCTAATAATCGCCAGGCACTGCACTGCAATAGCGTCAACATTTTTTCAATGAATAAGAGGTGATAAATCAATCGAAAATCACCCCACAAAAATAAAAAAAAACGGGAGAACATATTCTCGCACTTGGCTCTTTAGAGCATATACAGGAGCTCTTAACTGTCACTTGAAGGACACTCGTATATATGCGTCCCCGAAAAAAAAGAAGAGAGAATCTCGCTGCTACGCACGAAATCGATGTATAATTAAGAGGTCCATTAAGCCCTGGGTGTGCTTTTAACATGCTCTCTCGCATCCCGGCTAGGCAAAAAAAAAAGAATGAAAGGAGGGTAAGTTGCACGCGCTCGTCGCTCGAGTACATACATATACCGTAAGAGAGAGAGCTTTGACGTTCGAGTGGAGGCGCGTGGTTCACGACGACAGAGAGGAAACATGTTGCACTACTTTTCGCAAATCCGACGCGTGCTTTCTTTCTTATTTTTTTTGTTTCGGAGTGGAAGAGGAAGAGCCTCGATTGATATTTTAGATGACACTGCCTTCTTCACCTGTATATATATATATATGTATATATATATATATATATATATATACACACACACAAACACGCGCGCACGCGCGCGCACACACACGACGATCCTCCTACTTTCAGGTTTACTTGCTATTCTTTTCTAAGGAGACTATTCTGTTTTTCCTCTTTTGCTATGGGGTTGCATAGATAATTCAGAAAGATTCGTTTTGAAGCTTTAGGGAAAATGGCGTTGCTTTCTACTTTTTCATTTTTTATTCTTTCTTTTTTTTCGAAACATATAAGAAACTTCCTTTGAATATATTTTTTCAAAGAACTTTTGGTTTATGTACCTTGAGTACTTTACTGTGAGAAATATATAAATTAAAAATGTATTAAGAAAGATGTTGGAAATAGGTGTTCGGATCCTGTCATTAAGATTGGAGTTGCATCTTAAGTCATATCAGTATGTAATCAATGAAATTAAGTGCAAAAAAATAAAAATCATTGTAAGTACTTAATGTAGAATATAATGGCATAGTAAATATTTACAATTGCCAATGTTTATCCACTATTGATGAATATATATAATGTAAAATACAAATATCATCAAAACACTAGAAAGTTGTCATAGATTATTCATAGGGTCTTTTCAATGTATGAATATAATATGAAAATATTTTTATTAAAAAACGGATAAATTGAGAAACCATAATCGAAATTCTTCAACTGTCAAACATTATAATGGAAAATACTCTTATTAACCTGGTCATCACTGCCGATAAGTTATCTTATCTTGTCACTTGACACAAATAGCACTAATTATTTTGTTTTGTTCACGCTACAGCATTACTCGTTTTTGTCAACTGTTTAAAGAAATAAAATTTAAAAACTTAAATTGTAAAATCTAACGAAAATGGAACGATGGGATGGAAAAGTAGCGGTGGTGACGGGTGCATCATCTGGTATTGGTTTAGAAACAGCCAAAGCTTTAGTGCGAAATGGAATGATCGTTGTAGGCTTAGCACGAAGACTAGAGACAATGCAGGTAAAATTATTTGACATTTTATATGAGACGATTGACAAACTCGAATATTCTTTTCGCATAGGATACCATGAAAGATGTTACTGGACCAGGTAGATTCTATGCTAAGAAATGTGATATTTCAATTGAGAGTCAAGTCATAGACGTCTTTAAGTGGATAGAAAAGCATTTAAAAACCGTTCACATACTTGTGAATAACGCTGGGTTGGGTTACCAATCGTCTCTTCTAGGTGAATTTATATTTTCATGTATGCATACCATTTAGATATTGGAAAAATTACCTTATTGCTTAATGTTTAGATCTAAAAACTGATGATATGTTGCAAATTATAAACGTAAACATCGTTGGGCTTTTACATTGTACACGACAATCGATGAAACTTATGATAGACAACCAGCATGAAGCTCATATCGTCAATATAAATAGGTATATACATTGAGAGTTATTCTCTAACAAATTATAGAACTTATTAACATTATATATTATCGTCAATTTAGCATTTTTGGACATAGAGTTTCAAAATTGTCAAAAACCAATATTTATCCAGCAACGAAACATGCGGTCACTGCTTTGAGCCAAACATTGATTGCTGAAATAAAGGGTGATAAAATTAGAGTAACGGTGAGTCTTCAGCAGAAGAAGTAACGACATGAACATTCAAATCTAACAACTTTGTTTTACTTCAGAGTATTAGTCCGGGAATTGTTGCGACTGAGTTTTTTGAAAAATACGGTTTAGATCCAAATATTTTGAATACCTTTCCATCCATTAAACCCCAAGATGTTGCTGATTCTATTATACATGTAATCTCAGCCCCACAACACGTGGAAATAACTGAACTGACAATCAAACCACTTGGACAACTTTGGTGAAATTGGAACAACTCGAATTTATTTTTTTCAATTGTCAATATGCAATAAAGTTTATTCATATTTTTTTGAAAGACAAAAATTTACTTTGTAACAACATATAAACATTGCAAGGTGCTTCCATCTATTAATTGATTTCCATAATCATAAAAACATGTTTTTAGTTGCTGCTCTATTTGATTTATTTGACATTCTATTAAAGTGGTTTCTTTATTTTCTAAGTCGTTCGTTAGTTTTTTCGTATAATCTGTTCATTTTATCATCGTATAAAATATACGAACTTTTATCTCATTTTTCTGTTTCTTAAAAAACAAAAAGAATTTATGGAATTAATGTACTAATCGATATATTAAGAAAAGAATTGAAGCTTAAATTGAAACAAAGGACACGAAAACTACCCTAAAGCATCTGTATCTTCAAATGGATTATATACAAGTGACATGGCATGAGAGTATTGAAAATGCTAATGAGCAGCACAAGAGTTATGCTAAGCTTGCCACAAAAGAAATTAAAGTCACCTAAAACATATGTAAACGAGACGAAGAAAGGACAAAACAACCCGAAGCGCTAAAGGGAAATCAAAGAAAAGGGTCGCGAGATACCTAACGGAAACTTTCTTTTTTTTCCCATAGCACCCACGCGCATCCCTAGTCGTAGACGCAAACACGCACACGTACCCCGGACGTGTCTCTACGTGCGAATAATTTATCGGTACGTCCAACCCCGTCGCGACATGTGTGGGCCTATGCATACACACACACACACACACACACACACACACACATATTTCGTCTGCCCCCTCTCAAAACACACACGTGCACACGCACAAGGCCTATCGATTTTCCCGACAACGCGTCCGCAGCATCCGGGTATGCAGCAAGAGCACCCTTTCGACGTGACCGCTCTTTTTTCCTGACAGAGAGAGCTTGTTATGGAGAGCTGCTCCGATAACGAGTGCGGTCGTGAAACGGAAACTTCATTTATATATGAAACTTGTCTTTATTCAACAGTAGCTCATTCTTTATTCAGCGAGGAACATTTTACCGATAAAGCGACGAATGTCAATCGTCAGTACTTTGAAGTGCGATCGATTCAAACGGAATGATTTTAGAGATAATTAACTTACGATCAATTTGCGAATTGATGAAAGAGATATGTACGCCGATAGTTAACGGGTTGGGTTTTCGTAATAAGATTACGGTACCAGAATGTTTGTAAGTTATAAACAGTGTAATTGTCACCTCAATAATTCATTTGATCGAATGGATTTTAATTGAAATCGAAGTATACAATTGAAAACTCTCACATTATTCTCACGATCAGTCCCATTTATTTACACGATTAAGCTCGATTTACACGTATGACTCGCTTAATAATTGTCACTCGTCAACAAATCAATACAATCAGCGTTATTAATTCGCACAGAGGAGTGTGAATGCTGCCTTAATCCACTCCCTCGCTCTCTTTTGATTCGCCGTGTGAAAGTCTGAGGGGGGTGGTGGCGGCGCCGCGCCGTGCGAGCCATCGAGAGCGAAAGTGCGTGCGTCGGGATTTTCGGTTTCCGGACTTTTCGCGCGAACCCCTCTCCGACGGAAGAAAAAAAGTTCGATTGGCGACGGCGTGCCGAATAAAACAAAAAGAAAGAAAAAAATAAAACAAAACAAAAAAGCAACGAGAGAGCCATCGAGATTTAATCTCTTTAATTAAACGGCCTGCCCCGGGAAATCCCGTGCAAAAGGGAAAAACGCTTTGGATCGACGCGCACACGCCTGAGAGCTACTTCAGGATTTTTCGAGAGTGAGCATGTTTTTGCTCGCTTTTGTACTTGTTTGTTTTTGCGTGAGCTTCTATAGCTCTTTCTCTGGCATTTGTGTTTAAACTTGTGATGTTATGATATTCCGAATTTCAATCGACTTTACTTGTACAATCGCATCAAACTTTCGAGTGGTAGCAATTGTAAATTGTACAGGCCTTACTTTATTATCTCCTTATGTGAACTTTGCAATAGTTAGTTAGAGAACGTATCCTTTTATTTTATTTTTATGTAACGTGATTTATAAACGAATAATACGTTATATTCAACATTCAATAATCAATTTCAATATAACATTTTAATTTCATATCAAAGAAAGTTGGAAATCATGAATAAATATAGACTAACTGTAAAATTAAAAAGAAAATTGATTGAATAGAACTTTACGGTAATTTCTTTTATGAATAATTGCATTACAGATTAACCATACACAAATTTTTGACACAATCTTCCGTCATTATTAAACAGTCAGCGCAACACTTATTGTTTGACTAATAAATTAGATCAATTTTCCAATAAGTTAAAAAATACGATTGCATCTTTTTACAAACATCTCGTTGAAACCAATCGATACAGAGACACACGACATAACTATTTCCATAAAAGTAAACTCTACATTCTCACCAATAACAGTACGAAGCATTTTTTTCCTTATGTAAGCGCAGCCATAGCTCGTACATACGAAACGTCAGGCAGCTGAACTTTCGATTTTTTCCAATAGCATCGTATAGACGCCGCCGGCACATACATATACTCTCTCTCTCTCTCTCTACTCATCCCCGCGTCGGAATCCCGCGCACGAGTCCGCAATGATCGTCCCGGGGAGTTTTATTGGCGGAGCCCTTTGTCGAGGCAGCGGTCCGCGTAAACGAAATTGCCGGCAAGGGGCTAGATTTACTTTCGAGACTTTTCTTTTTTTTTCTACTCTCTTACTCTAGATAGAGATGAATATGAGAAGAGGGGAGGAGAGAAATGATTGTTCCACGCTTCTTCGAGTGGAAAGTCACTCTCATCTCTCTCAGATGAGTAACGTTTTTATCATCCACAATATTGCCGTTGAAAGTTTTGAAGTATTGGTCTTCTTTCGGTATTTTGATTCAGTGCGTGTTAATATTCTAAGCAGGATTTTTATATAGATAAGGCGGTAGTGACAAAAAAAGCTCTTCAAAGTTTTATAGAAACCTTCGGGATATGGTAATCGGAAGGATCAAACTACACGTAAAATATTCCCTATCTCGAGTTTGTGCGAACAAAATAAAACGAAATTTCATCGGTCTGATTTCAAACGAACACTTTAGCAAATTTAAAAACTTGCGGTAAAAACAATGAAAATGTTTTGCTCGATTCGGCCTCAACGAACGCAACGTCAATGTGCCTCTCGTTGCGTCAGCGAAAATTTACTGCCGTGCCACAAAGAAAAAAAAAAGAAAAAGAAATCGTACAGCAACGTCGGAGAGCTAAAGTGCGCTACTTTGGAGCCAATGTATCCCCCTCGATGCGTCTAATTCTCCCTTTGTCGATGTGTGCCACCCTCGGCACGCGTGTGCATGCACCACCGCAATGGGAACAGTATTTGGGCGTGACTCCGGATTCGCCACGGCCATCGCTTGATACACAATTTGGCCATTGCACAGAGCAAGCATCCGCCTATATTGCTTGCGAAAGTCAAGTGCAACGAACTAAGGAATCTAAGAGCTTTATTTTTCTTTTTCTTGCTTTTCCCGAAAAGCTTTGTATCAAGGGGTGTGCTACTACTGCTGCTAAGGAGTGTCACGTTATATAGGACGTATATCTTTTCTTCGATCCAGCAGCAGCGGCAGCAGCAGCAGCAGCAGCCCGAGTGAATTGGATTTGAAGCGTTTTACTCGTCGGGTAGAGAAAGAAGACAAGGGCTATGGAAAAAAAGAAAAGGCTAAGTTATTGTCATCCTTGAAACGATCCTGTTAGCTGCAGGATTTAGGATGTCGTTGAACGTGCTGGGCAAAGAATTCTATCCCGAATTTGGCGCGTTTAAACAGCTAAAGAAGAAAGCGCGCGTGCACGAAATTACAAGTTACGATATAAACTAGTCGCCAACACGCACACACACACACACACGTACATCCTCGAATATTTATCTAATCGAGTGACGTGTGATTTCTCACAGAATCTTATGCGCAAACACATCACAGACGCGAAGCCTATAAAAATCGAAGCATTTCACTCGAAGCCTCTAATTTGTCCCTCTAATCCTTCCAACGAATGGAACAACGTGCAGCAACCATCTCTTTTTGCCACCACCCTCGTACCGTTTAACCCACAGCAGCTCCGCTCTCTCTCTCTCTCTCTCTCTCTCTCTCTCTCTCTCTCTCTCTCTCGCTCGCTCGATTGCCAAAATCGCGACGGAGAGATCCGTGACTAAACTGTTCTAATCGGCGATACATGACAAATCGAAATTGGGGTAGAGGCACACGCGTGTCGAGTCTAATCGGGAGACTGGTTATTTATGGGGTTTGCGCTTCGGGCGAAAATTTATGGCGCGCGCGACTTTTGATAGACTTTACGCATGAAGATCTATACATGTAATTCCGACATAGATATTTCGGCTTTTGTTCGGTTACGGTATTATGGTTCTGATTGACTGTTTCGTAACAGTTATGGGACTCATGAATTTGTTTCTATGCGGACGCGGGAGCTTAACGTATATTTTGAGAAATCTTGATATCGAAATACGAAAATTACGAATGTAACAATAAGCATTGTCTAAACAGCGAAATCATCATCCGAACAAAATTAACTTGTTAAGCTAAATTTAGTTATAATATATAACTTTACCTAATTACAAGTTCTAGCTCAGGAGAATAACCAAATAATCTTCGCTACTCGTAGATATATATATAGGCTCGCTACGCAGAGCTAAGAGAGATAAAACGAATACATTTCAGGTATGCAAAGTGAAATGAAAGTACATACGTAACCTTAGTAGCGGAAAAAATTCAAAGCAATTGCCAAAGTGTGACTCGGCTTGTGTTACGCTTCATTATTTATTATTTCAGAAGCGCGTCGCGAATTTCTCCGTGAATTGCTACGGAGGCGCGCGAGACTTGTCAAGTAGAGAATAGAAACGATTCTTTTTCGCTCTTCTTCTTCTTATTGTCTTAGTAAATCTTTATAAATGTATATTTTCATTACATTATACCGAGAAGTAATTTTTTAGTCACAATGTAATACATTTTATCAAATATCAAAGCATTTCGATTCTTGTTTACATTTTATATAACTTAAATAATTTGAGTATACACGAAATTAATATATATTAGACACATTAAATCATTTCTATAATTGTCAATTGACATTCTATGCAATCAAATAATATTTTCCTTTGATATCTTTTTTTAAT